CACCCCTCCTTGCCATGTCCCTGCCACTGTCCTGGTTTAGCACCCAACATTTCTTACTCAGACTATTGAAATAACTTTCTTGCTGATTTCCCTCCTTTAGTTTTGGCCCAACAGTCCCACATTACTAGCAGAATGATCTTCTTAGCATGTAGATCTGATCATGTCACTACCACATTCAACATTTTTTTGATGTCTTGGCTATAAGATCAATTCCAAATGCCTTTTCTTATTAAGTAAAGCTGTTTAATATCCAGCCCTTTTCTGGTTATCTGTCCACTTTCATCTATCTGTATTCTCTTCTCTATACTTTAAACTTTAGCAAAGCTGAATTACTTGAAGTACTGTTCATATGCAATGTTTTCTCATACCTTGTTCCCCCAAGTCTGCCTCAACCTTATCAACCCAGCCAATCTGTATTCATCCTTCCACAGTTAGCTTGAATGCTATCTTCTCTAACTCCTTTCCTTTCTTTTCAGACCCATCCTTCTTTATGCCCACTGCACTTGCCACACAGGAGAGTCCTCTTTTCTGATCAGACCGGGATAGTGGTTGATGGGTTAACTGAAAAACTACTTAAATCGGGGATTATAACAATAATGATATATACTTTAAACATTATATTTTTAAGATTTTATTTATTTATTTGAGAGAGAGAGAGAGTGTGTGGGGATGGGCAGAGGTGAAGGGAGAAAGAATCTGAAGCAGACTCTGCACTGAATGTGAGCCGAATGCAGGGCTCAATCCTACGACTGAGATCATGACCTGAGCTGAAACCAAGAGTCAGATGCTTAACCAACTGAGACACCCAGGTGCCCCTAAACATTTTTTTTTAAACATCACTTACAAATCACTGTTTCTTAGTAAGGAGTGTTGTTTTGTTATTTATTTATTTATTTATTTATTTATTTATTTATTTATTTATTTATTTTAAAGCAAGCTCTATAACCAATGCAAGGCTTGAACTCACAAGTCTGAGATCAAGAGTCACATGCTCTACCAATTGAGCCAGCCAAGCACCTATTACTATGCAGCTCTCTTAGACTTTTTCTAGTAACACCCTTCCTCCCATTCCCTATGAAGTTTTAATACCACAACAGACACACACTATATCTATTCATGTTCTCTGTGTATGTCTATAGGGTCAAGGCCTTGTATTTGGATGTGGGTCCTCTGCCTCAGATTTCTTCTATGTTGATAATCTATCCTATATGATTCCTAATTTAGGTTTGTTTAAAATGAATGGGAACAAAACATTTTAAAAACAAACTGAAGGTAGAATCACACTCAATTGTTGTGATTTTATTCCCATGCCTACCATTTGACAACTTTTTTTTTAAAGATTATTTATTTATTTGACAGAAAGAGAGAGCACAAGTGGGTAGAGCAGCGGGCAGAGGGAGTGGGAGGAGCAGGCTTCCCGCGGAGCCAGGAGCCCGATGCGGGACTCGATCCCAGGACCCTGGGATCATGACCTGAGCCGAAGGCAGACGCTTAACGACTGAGCCACGCAGGCGTCCCCCCCATTTGACAACTTCTTAAACTGTGTGTGTGTGTGTGTGTATAAAACTTGCCTTTATCAAGTCTTTCCAAAGCACTTAATTGAGTTTTCATAAAAATAACTTGTTCTCTCCCCGCAATTACACTTTGTCACTATATAATGTCTAATCGCATTTTATTATTTCAAAAAAACAAGACAACCACTTGGGGATCCAACACAACTGTTGGCAGGGGGCAGCAATAAGAAAATATATAGGAAACAAATAGGTGAAAGAAGTAATATACAGAAAATAATAACAAATGTTTTCAGAGAACTTACAAGGTATCCAGCACTGTTTTAAGAGCTTTACAAAAGTCTGGGTGCCTGGGTGGCTCAGTAGTTAAACGTCTGCCTTTGGCTCAGGTCACGATCCCAGGGTCCTGGGATGGAGCCCCGTATCGGGCTCCCTGCTCAGCGGGAAGCCTGCTTCTCCCTCTCCCACTCCCCCTGTTTGTATTCCCTCTCTTGCTATCTCTCTGTCAAATAAATAAATAAAATCTTAAAAGAAAAAGAGCTTTACAAAAGTCAACTCATTTAATCCTCACAACTAAGGTTCCATTATTATCCCCCATTTTCCTGATGAGGAGACTGAGGTACACAGAGGTCAATTTTTTTTTTTTTTGACCAAAAGTCTTTTTAAACAACAAATGTTTAAAACATCTTTTACTGAGATGTTTCTGAGATATATTACCAACATCTGCCTTTCTTTCATAAAGTCTATTGAACCTAATGTAACCTCTCTAAAATGGTGTAACTAATAAAAATAGGCTAACGAAAATTTAATGTGGCTTCCCTCTTGGTTTCACAAAAGCATTCCTCTTCATTCTCAGGGAAACCAGAGAAGTGAGTTTAGCTAAATCAGAATGAGATCTGTGTGAGGAGAAAGAAGATTTAATTGCTCTTGTTTCCATCCTTTCTTAGGAGGGGAGGGTGCCTTAGCAAAGAACCAAAAGCTGAGAACTGATAGTCTTTATGGAAGGTTTTTCTTTAAAACTGGCTACTGCTGTAGGAGCAGAGGCTCCAGTCAGCAGCGGGACTGGGGCAAGGCTGCAAGCAGTCAGCGATCTGCTTTCACTAGGTTGGGGTTTGAGCTGAGGCGCAATCCTGCTGAGCTCACCTTCCTATAAGCTACCATTCTCTCCTTTGCCCTATTCTCCTTTCTCTCCTTTCCTGACTTCTGCTCTGGAAACTTTCCTCTAGTTCTGGAGCAGGGGCAGCAGCTTCCCTGAGGGGAGCTGGGGCTGACTTGGGTCTTGCTCTAATTGCTTGTTTGCTCTAGGCTAGTAGCCTGTGGTGGACTGTGAGGACCCAGCTGCTAGGGGACACCAGAACCCTCCCATTGTGTGGAATGCAAGGAATCAGTAAATCTTATTTGCTTACTTGACACTGTAGGCCCAATGCTTAGAACAGTGTGTAAGACCTAAGAGATGCTCAGTACTTACTGAAGAAATAAATGGATGAATGAATGAATAACCTGTGGACCCCAATCTAATTCATTTGCTTAGTTCACCAGTGTCCTTGATAGTTGTGGATCAGTCTAATGAAATTAATTTTTGTAATAAGATTGAAGTGGGAGAGCTAGGTTCTTGTCTCACGGAGTTGAAGAATGAATTTCATGGACAAAGGAGAGTGAGTAGAGTGATAGAGTTTTATTAAGCAAGGATACAGGAAAAAAAGCTTTCAGGAGTGAGAGGCATCCCGACAGCGTTGCCACTGAGGGCTTTTAGGGTTGGTCTTTTATAAAAAGCTTACCATAGGAACTTAAATCTTTTTGACTTCTCTATTGGCAGCACCATGGATTAAGGACTAGTGATAACATCTTTAACGGCTATTTCTTTCTAGGGTCTGGTTTTCTGTTGACCACAGGAGACCGTCATAAATAAGACTTCCCCCTCAGACACCTAGGGCAGGGTGGTCTGGGGTGTTCCCTTATCTCTGGTTTCCTTACACCTCTCCATTTTTGGGATTTCCACGAGTCTGATCCCAGAGCCCCTTATCTATCTCTCCTTACCTAGCCCGGCCTGTCCCTTATTCAAGTTCATGTCTCTGAAGAGTCTTGGCATGCTTGTTGGGTTTTTGTTTGTTTGTTTTTAACCCAGTTTTACATGCCACCTTCATCATTTCTTTGCATTTGTTTCCAGCTGAAATGTTCAGCCCTCCTCCTCTTCCATCTAAAAATGTCTTACCCATCCTTTACTGACCATCTCAGTGGCTAAGCCTCCACCACCCTTCTCTGAAGACTCTGATTAAAAGTGATTGGTCTCTCCCATAAATGCCAACAGCACTGTGGTGGTAACTGTACCGTGTATTAGTAAGTGCATTGTACAAACTGCTTCCGTATCCTTCTCCCCTCCCCTTTTGTTCATTTTATCCTTGCAACTTGCCTGAGTCAGAATGTTAGACAAATGGTCTTCTCCTTCCACAGATAAGGAGATTGGAGAGGTAAATGGGCATTTCAGGGACACAAGCCTAGAAAATGATAGAACACACAGTATAACTCTCGTCTCTTACAATAGATATAAAGGGCAAAAGAGCTGCCAAGTCGGCTCAGCAGTTGGAAAACACTTCACTGGCTTCATTTGTTGGTTAATTTTTGCTCCAAAAGGCTTTATTAAAAAAAATAATAATAATAAAATGGGTCTTGGGGTGCCTGGGTGGCTCGGTCCTTACGCATGCCTTCAGCTCAGGTCATGGTCCCAGAGTCCTGGGATGGAGCCCCGAATCGGCTCCCTGCTTGGTGGGAAGCCCGCTTCTCCCTCTCCCACTTCCCCTGCTTGTGTTCCGTCTCTTGCTGTGTCGCTCTCTGTCAAATAAATAAATAAAATCCTTAAAAAATAAAATAAAATAAAATGGGTCTTTCTACATCCAAGTCAACACAAAACCATTTGTGGGAAGTGAGGTTTATTTACTTCCTTGTAAGTTTCTTCTCTGTAATTTCATCTTAAGTATAGCCATTCATGTGGAAAGAAGGGGTAGAATAAGCAAACTGCCACTTCTATTGCTTTCATGGGTGGGCGACTGCGGCATTAAAGAGATGTATGATCAGTAATTGGGGTGGGAAGAATTGTCTGGTGTGGGTCAGGGACCTTCAGGAACTGCAGTTGGAGTCTCTGGGTCTCCCCTTGATAGCCATTTGATGAGACCAAAATCTGCCCATAGGGCTTAAATCCTGGCCCTTGGTTCCGAAGAGGGCTGCGGAGGAGCCAGGCTCCACCGCACAAGGCCCAGGAGACCCAACATTGGCTTTGGGCCTGCGAATCTAAAACAAACAAACAAAAACCCTACACGTGCCAGGGGCCTCACCTCCGAGTCTGACCCTTGGCTTCACGGGGACAGAGTGGCCCGAGCCTGGGTGAGAACGAGATCTCCTGGAGACCTGTCTTCCCCTCGCGAGGCAGGGGCGGCGCCAGCTAAAGCCGCGAGTGAACCGCCCTAACTAGTTTGTCCCTGCGGCCGTCTCGTAGACGACGCCGCGGCGCACCGAGTCTCCCCGCGTCGCATTGCCATGGCTGCCCGCGGTGGCGTCGCCGCTGCCGGCGAGGGTCTGCGCTACGCCGAGTACTCGCCGCCGGCGACCAACCGGCCGGACGCGGACGTGGACCAGGGACTGGTGAGTCCCGCCGGCTGCTCCCGCCCCTCTGCGGGCCGGCCTGCTAGCATCCCCGGATTCCCGTAGGCCGGACCCTCTCACCGCTGAACCGGGGTAGTCCTGGTAGTCACATGTTTGTCCCATCTCCTCCGGCGTCCCGCGGAGTCGGGCTCGGCGCCACGCGTTGACGAGTGGACGTGTGCAGAGTCTCTTTTCCCTCGAGGAGCTTACGGTCTTGTCGGGGAGACGGACCGGGAGACAGGCAGTTGCAGCTACTGTGTGTTAAGTACTACAGGTGGGATTCTCAGAGGAGGAGACCCCGGTCCACTCTTGCAGGGTAGGGAGTGAGGTCAGGGGAGGCTTCTTGGAGAAACGGATGATTAAAAACGGAACTCTGGAGAATGAGTGGCAGTGAACTCGGCGAAAGGAAGAGGAAAAAGTGTTTCAGGCATCAGTGGTAGTGTTTACAAAGTCGTAGGCCGGAGGAACAGGGCCCGGTTGGAAATCGCAGGTGGTTTATTCGGGCTGAAATGCAGAGTTGGGAGAAGTTAAGTGTTCAATAGAAACATAATGCGAACCTCACATATATCTTTAAGTTTTCTGTAGCGATAGTTAAAATGTGAAAAACAGGTGAATTTAATTTTAAGTGTATTTTTATTTAACCCAATCTATCCACAATAATATTTTGACATGTAGTCAGTATAAAATTACTGAGATACTTTACATTCTTTTTTTTTCTTTTTTATACCAAATCTCTGAAATCCAGTGCGTGTTTTACACTAACAGCCCAGCTCACTTGGGACTAGCCACATTTCAGGTGCTCAGCCACATGTAGCTAGTGGCTACATTATAAATCATTGCAGTTCCCAAAGATTAATGGGGACTAGAACATATGAAGCATCTGGTAAAGCACCTGAAGGAGTTGGGATATCCTGAGGTCAGTGGTACCATTTTGATGAGTTTTAAGCTGAGAAGTGACAGATTGGGCTGTTACCAAGCTCTCTCAGGCTTTGTGTAAGAGGAATGGATTAGTTGGAGAAGGTCTAGAAATGTGGCTGTTTTCATTCTTTTTCACACGGCATTCCATGCTGTGCCAGCCCGCAGTGATAATATACCTTGTCTTTAGATGCATAGCACTTGTTGTCCGTTCCAGTTGTTGACTACTCATACACTGTATTGTGACATCTTTTATGTTGACCTGTCATTTTCCAGCATTGTTCTAAGTTTCCTAAGAGCAGGGACTGAGGATTTACTTCTAGTAAGCACCCAGTTTATGAGCACTCAATTATCATTACTTGATTAACGGGTAAATTTCTGCAGCAGTCAGATGGGCTTGCCTGGGAAGGTTTCAGAAAGCAATATGCTTTCATTCAACAGACATTTCTTGAATACTGCCAGGTGCCAGGTATTATCCTAAGACCTTGGAATAGATAAGTAAACAAAACAGATAAAAGTCTGAAGTAGCAAGCTCCGAGCTCCTACTTGTCTGATTCATTCCTTACCACAGCCCTGTGAGGCAAGTCCTTTTTAATTCTCACTTAAGAAATGAGGAGACTCAGGGATGCCTGGGTGGCTCAGTCAGTTAAGCATCATCTGCCTTCGGCTCAGGTCATGATCCCAGGGCCTGCTTCTCCCTCTCCTCCCCACTTGTGCTGTCTGTTGCTATCTCTGTCTCTCTCAAATAAATAAATAAAATCTTAAAAAAAAGAAATGAGACTCAAAGTGGTAAGTCACTTACTCAGGATCACTCTCCTAATAAAGTGACAGACCTAGGATTCCAAATCCTATATACCCTTTCCACCAGGACTTGCTCACTTCGTAGAAATAAGGCTTTCTGAGTGGAGTGTTCAGTCTGTGATGTCGGCTGGATAAATTATTAGGTTAGGCAGAAGGAATCTCTTTATGGAGAGTTGTAAAAATCTCCATACTGGACTGATTTGCAAGGCAATTGGGAGCTCTGCGGTAGTTTGAAGATAGAAGTAATACTGGCGATCTTTTACATCTGTAGGTACTTCATTTGGAAGAAGATAGGTGTAGAATTTAAGATCTCAGTGAGGAGACATCTTTAGTAGTCCAGTCACATGAAGGCTAAGGTGTAGGCCAGTGATTCTGAAGTGATTCCTGCCCAGCCTAGTGCCTCCTTTTTATAACTAATATTCTGTAAAGTCTCCTGTAATATCCTAAAATGATATTCATAGGCAATGAAATCTATTCATAAAAATAACTTAAAAATCAATGTAATGGTCTAATTTGAAACATAAAGGTGAAGTATTTTATTAGAAAATAACATATTTACTATTTAAGTATGTAAATGTTCAGACATAATTACATGGGAAGACATAATGAAGTAATCAGTTGCTGGCATATTGCACCAATGCAAAGAATCCCTATGAGTATAACAGCTATAAATGCAGACCTATTTCAAATGTATTATACTGGCATTTCAGATACTGTAAGGGCCATTGTCATTGACAAACTGATTTTTCCCAAATTGCTAACAATTTTTGGTAAAATTTTGAATAAAACAAAATGGAATCTTCCCTCAATTTATATAAGATTTGCGCTTCTGAAAAATTCAGTCTTCTTTAAAACAGTGTGAAAATGATACATTTTATATATACTGTATTATATAAAGTTCTAGACTAAGATGATCACAGATAGGTTTTTTACCTACTTTAATGTCCAGTAGAATCTTTTAAAACTCTGAGGGATACAGGTAGTTCTTTGTTGTACAAGGTTGTTTCATACCTTTTAGGATGTATAGTCCCCCATCCACCAAATACTTTCCCTCCTATCCAAATTATTACTGCAACCAAAGGGTCCTCACAAATTTTCAAAATGTCCCTAAGGGCCTATTCTTTTTCTGTTGGAATCATTGGTCCAGGTAATGATGAGTTAGAAGATAAGAGAACTGATGATGATAATTTTGGAGGAGCTTGGAAGTACTGAAAATGATGAAAAGCTGACAAAGGGTAAGTGTTAGGAAAAAATAAATGACCCAGGAGTGGGACATATTGGCAGTCTTACTGAAAATAGTAGAAAATAAAATGTCAAGGACTTGAAGAAAAGATTTTTCTCATTTTTTTTAAAAGATGCAATTTATTTTGAAGTTTTTGAAATATAGCATCTGCAGTTGTAGATGTTAAATAACTCTCAGGTAAACTTCCCCTTAGGAAATAAGAATTCATGTGCATTAGCCAGTTTAGGAGATTAAAAAGATAAAAATGTAGGTCAAAATACTTGGGTAGTACCTTGAATAAAATAGTATCTTACAATTAATTGTGTGATAGTCAGAGGTCATGGTCAGATTTTGCTTTAGCAAATCTGATTCTCATGAAAAGTAGAGAAGAAACTTTAATGTTAGGAAGAGAATATTATCAAATTTTAAAGCATTTTGAAAAAAACCTAGTTTGTATGAAATGATAGCCTTTAGTTTTCAGTACTTGCCCAAAAAGTGTAACTCCTAGTGTTAGTAGGATAGTGTGACATATAAGAAAATTAGTTACATATACATTTCAGTTATAGGCCAACTTGATAACATGAAAACTAAAACCCATCAAACATGTAAATTATTAAGTACTTATTTATTACCAAAACAAAAGAAAGCACTTCTATTTTTCATTTAAAATGTTTACCTTGAAGCTTCCTTTGAAGAAATCACATGGATTGCAGATTGTATATCCTTTTTTTTTTGAGAGCCACAGCAAACATGAGCTGGGGGGAAGAGGGGCAGGGGAGAGAATCTTAAGCAGGCCTCAAGCCCAAGGTGGGGCCATCTCATGGACCTGGAATCATGACCAGCCAAAATAGAGTTGGATGCTCAACTGACTGAGCCACCCAGGTGCCCCTGGGCAAGAACTCTTATATGCTTCTGTGATTGGCACTGTATTTGACACATGGTAGTCACTTAATTGTTCATTAAATGAACAGCTATTAACTTCTGTTACTATTGAGTGACTTAAACATGAATGTTTGATTCTAACATATTGATGAAGGTATTTTTTTCTGTAGGATTTCTCCTTTAGGTTAGCCTCTAAAGGAGAACAAGAGTCTGTGTCTTTCTTACTCATTATTCTTTCCCCAGAACTTAGCACAAGGCCTGCTGCATGCTGAATAAATATTTGTATATGTATATGGTAAATGCTAAATAAATATTAGTGGTACGAGTGAATAGTCTCCATCTTTCCTCTATCACAACTATCTTTTTGAGGCAGAATAATTTTTATCCTTCTTAATTTCCAACTGGTACAACTATTGTCTATCTTGAACTTAAATATTACAGTCTTGAGATAGAAGTTTTGGCATTTTTATAATTCTTTCAGCCAATTTATATTTATCAGGAAGGCTATTTACTGCTTATTTACTGTTTTGGAAGAATAAAATGCCTTAGGGAATTTGTAAACAACTTTGATCCCCCACTCCACCAAGCAGTAGCGGCTGTGATGGAGTGGGCTGTTTTCCCAGTTTTCAGAAATTCCTTGATTTGTAGTAGTGGAACATTTAATTTTTCCGTTTTTTGTTTGTTTGTTTCTTTCTTTCTTGTGGATATTTTTTTAAAGATTTTATTTTCTTATTTGTAGAGAGGGAGAGAGATAAGAGAGTGTACAAGGGGTGGGGAGGAACAGAGGGAGAAGGAGAAGCAGACTCCCCACTGAGCAGGGAGCCCGATGCAGGGCTGAATCCCAAGACCCTGGGATCATGACCTGAGCCGAAGGCAGGTGCTTAACTGACTGAGCCACCCAGGGGCCCTGTTTTTTTCTGGTGGATATTTGAAACTAGGTGGCAGTAACAGATACCAGACTTGGCCCATTTGTTGATTTGCTGGTATTATTTAAATAGTGCTTCTCCTTTTTGAAATATGTCTTTTATTTATTTTTAAAGATTGATTGATTTATTGTAGAGAGAAAGAGAGCACGAGCAGGAGGAGCAAAGGGAGAGGGAGAGAGAACCCAAAGCAGACTCTGTGCTGAATGCAGTGCCCAACGTGGGGCTCAATCTCACAACCCTGAGATCACAACCTG